TATCCATTCCTCATTTATCCCTCTCTCTGGCATGAGCACAGAGCGGGTTTACGGTCAACCATTTTATACGAGTAATACATCTCTGTATCTCTTCGCGATCCTCTAGTTACAATCCATTCTTTACTCCTTGCTCGCGATCTGGACTCGCTGTCTTGCTCTCTCTCGACTCCTAGGCGACGTCCTCTCGCGGTGCTGCGGTCTTTCACTCCTCTCTCTCTCTGCTCGTACCGAACTCCCGGGAAGGGTTGTTTGATGACGCTCCCCTGCAACATCAAGCAAAGCTGCAGGTATGCCAGTGACTGCTGTAGAGTGCTATCGATAGTAACCAGAAAAGACGTGCGCTCCTGTCGAGCTTTTTCCGCCTCTTATCACCTGCGCTCTCACTTAACGGCAGCTTACAATAAGACTCTTTGCTCTGGCTAACGACTTCTCTTCACCGCTACTCAGTAAAGCTCTTGTGCCTCGGCGTCTGCTGAGTCGGTGTCTCACAGGCGGAGTAAGTATTACGTATGCTTGACGCCTTTGTTTCCGTGCCGTAGTCAGTAGAATGCGCTGCCGCCGGCCAGCGCAGCGGGCGCGCGCGGCGCCGTGTGTGTTGTGTCGTGGTGTGTGTGTGTGTGTGTGTGTGTGTGGGTTTGTGAGAGAGAGATTGAGTTTATAATTGTCGCGTGTGTGTGTCTCTCTCTCTCTCGTCTCCGTCTCTCTCTCTCTGCTCTCGCTCACTTAGTCGCTCTTCACTTCACTCTCCGCTAACACCTCACTAATCGCTCTCTCTCTCTCTCATCGTTCATCACCGTCTCCTCCCAATCTCTCTCTCTCTCACTCTCTCATCATCATCTCGTCTCCTCTCTCTCTTTCTCTTCTCTCTCCTGGGCTCTCCTCTCACCTCTCATCTCTCCATCTAGTCTTTCTCCGTATCTCTGTCCTCCATGCACTATCTCTACTCTCCAACTCTCATTTCTCTCTTTGCTACTGTGGTTGTGTGTGCGCCATGCGCGCGCGCGATTGGTGTGTGTGTGTGTGTGTGTGTGTTGTGTGTGTGTGTGTTTGTGTTTGGTGTGCGTATGTGTGTGTGTTATAGTGTGTTCTGCTGTCATATGCTGTGACTGAGAGAAAGAAGGAGCACAGAGATAAGAAAATGAGCGGGTAAAGAAGAGAAGAGAGCATAGTGTGTGTGATGTGTGTGTGTGGTGGTGTGTGTGTTGTGTGTTTTTGTTTTTGTTTTGTTTGTGCTGCGTTGTGCGCTGCCTGTCTGTCTGTCTGTCTGTCTGTCTTCTGTCGTCTGTCTGTCTGTTTGTCTGTCTGTCTGCCTGTCTGTCTGTTTGTCTGTCCTGTCTGTCTGTACTGGTCCTGATCTGTTGCAGTGCGTGTTGTCTGTCTGTCTGTCTGTCTGTTCGTCTGTCCTGTTGTGTGTGTGCGTGTCTGTCTGGTCTTCTGTCTGTCCTGTCTGCCTGTCTGTCGTCTGTGTATAGTGTGTCGTTATGTGTGTGTGTGTGCGTGTCTGTCTGTCTGTCTTTTTGTCTCTTTGTGCGTACGTGCGCGCGTGTGTGTAGTAGAGTGCGACGGAGAGTGGGAGTTTGTATGCGTGTGTATGTGTGTAAGAGAGGTGCAAAGAATGGGAAGTGAGTGAGCAAGTGAGTGAGAGAGAGAGAGAGAGAGTTTGGTTGTATGCGTGAGATAGATAGAGAAATGAAAGCGAATGAGCGAGAGAGTAAAAGAGAGTTTGTGAAAGAGAGAGGGAGAGAGAGAGAGTGCGACAGCGAGAGTGAGAAAGAGAGTATGTGAGAGGAGAGTGCGACAGAGAGAGTGAGAGAGAGAGTGCGACAGAGGGAGTGAGAGAGAGGGA